AGTGCTTGTGTGCATACAGTGTGTGCCCCTCGTAATTTCAATATCAAGCCTTGTTGTTGGTAGTTATTTTTGAAAGAATGATGAACAAAAACTGAATTCTGAATTCACAACCAGAACAAGACAGCAGCAGAACAAAATCAATGTTCTACAAGGACACTGAAATGTGTATTTTAATTAAATGTGTAATGTTATTTAAAAGCTGAAGTAAAAGGGCTTGAAATGTAGGTTAAACAAGATGCTCTATTTAGAATATTACATCCTATTTATAGGGGCCCTATTATGCTTTTGTTTCCCTTCCCTGTAGTGTGTTCTATAGGTTTTATGGTCTGCAAAGGCTCAAATCCCAAAGTTCCCTCCAGAGGGAGTTTCTCTCCCACACACTCCCCCCCTGCCTGAAATGCCTCCATTGTATTAGTTTGTTTACTTAAGCGACATAGTGACATCACTACGTAACACTCGCGCTTCTATTGGCTGACGCTCCAACACATTGTATGTCATATGCTAAGGGAAAGAGGTGGGAAGTAGTGGAGTACAAATACTGCGTTACTGTACTTAAGTAAATGTTTCTGGTATCAGTACTTTACTCCACTACTTATTTTTCTGACAACTTTTAACTTTTAACTTTTACTTCTTACATTTTTAACACAAATACCTGTATTTTCTACTTCATACATTTTCAAAACAGGCTGGTTTACTTTAGTTTGAATGTGTGTTTGGTGGCGTGATCATTATTATTTAGAGTCATTGCGTGCCTATTGATTTTAACACGATCCGTGTATCCATAATTTCATATTGCCGTTGTTCAGCATTAGCTAACAATGACATTATTGTTCTATTATTATAAAGAGATGTCAGTTACTCTTTAAAACAGCTGGTAGTTGTGGGTACTTTTTACTAAGTACATTTTGAAAGCCCATACTATCAATAATGATAATAATCAATCAAATAATGCCCTTTTTAAAGTCCACAGCAACACTCCCTAAGAATTGTGTCTAAGCCTCTGGCACAGTTAAGAGTTCCCAGTTCAAGCACTCACAAACAGTATTTCCAATAACTTGCTAAAAACATAAAGTCCAACTTTTTAAGAGTATATACACACTACTGTTCGGCTTTCTATTTTCCTCCCTACCCTGACTGAAAAGTCCCAGAGTGACACAAATCTCTGAAGATAAGCTATCAACGGCAGTGTGTCAGTGCAGCGGAGTAGCAGAAAACATCTCGATATATGTTGAAAGCACGCAGGTCGCGGTAACCATACCTTGTCAACACTGTGGCAGGAATTCACTTCAACAGTCAGCTGTCTTACAAACTGTATACGTGTGTGGGTTTCTGTGTGGGTTTCAGGCTCTCAGATCTCCTGGGTGCTTTTTCCAAACAACACAATGTAACTTTTCTGACAGAGAAGGCAGGGCAGGTTAAAGTGGTGCCCTTTATCTTGACAAGCCACAATAGTTCTCAAACTGGGACATCTCAATGATGGACCATGATGCTTTTCACCAAACAATATTGTGCCTAGAAAAACCACAATTCAGCACTATAGTTGCCGTTAAAGTGAATGTAATGTTTTCCTGCTGTTCATGTGGCAGAGGATTCAGCCTGTAAACATTTCTACATGAAGGAAATTGGAATGTGATGCGTTCACGTCGGCTGAACCTTTGCAGTGCTTGGCTGTCAGGCTCAGAATGGTCTTTCCGTCCTCTTCGTTCTCCTTTCTTCAACTTAGCTCGCTCTTGAAAGCTGCTGCCTCCCTCCCTCACACACTCCTGTGTGTTTGAAGCAGGTGAACACCCACACACTCACACCATCACAGATCTTTTTCTTTTTTTTATCCTTGACAAGGAGCCATCTCCCTGAATATCAAAGATCCTTCTTGAAGAGCATGTAGGAATGACTCACCCCCAGGTCTGTCTCACTAACTCACTGGATTTGGCTGCTGCAGGACGCTGAGCGGACACTGTCTCTGAACTACAGTAGGGTGCGTTTGTCACCCAGCTAGGTGAAACTCAGCAGTGCACAGATATTTCTAACTGACCCATTTGTCCCACCCAGGTCCTGCATGCATGCTGGGGGTCCTTCCTGACCATAGCAGTGCTCTCCTCAGCACCATGTCAAAGCATGGCCGCCGAGCCAGGAGGGCAGAGTAGCTGTGACAGCTACAAAGTGGCTGCGGGAACTGTGTACTTTAGTTCAGACTGCGTACTTTAGTTCAGACTGCTTTAACACTAGAACCGCCATCGGGTCAATTTGACCCACAGCTCTTTTTTTATTGTATGTAACTTTTTTTCAATAGAATATTAAAGTCTCCCAGTCCATGACTTTTCCTGAAAGTGTGTTATGTACAGTAGCACCCTCTGTTGTTAAAAATGGTCAATATGAAGTCAGATTGAAGAAATCGCCCAAAAAATTGTCCTTTATACCTATTTCCGCCAGCGGGTCATATTGACCCCACCCCTTTTCGCGCTATTGATTTCGCGCGTAAACATGACGTGTTGCTATAGCAACGCCTTTTGTCTACTGCGGTTCCTTATAGATTGAGAGATAGATTGAGAGAGAGAGATAGATAGGCTGAAACTTTCTCTCCCTCTTCTTCTCATACTCACTGTCACTCTCCTTTAACTCCTCCGGTGACTTTCTTTTATTTTAAGATTGTTTTTTGCCTGGCGCTTGGCCAGTTACCGGTGGTTTTTAAAACATTTTGGCGAATGGTTAGGTGTTGCGACAGTCTGTAGTGAAGGAGCGTGCTCCCGATCACGGGAGACTGCTCGCGCTGCGCTCCGCAGCAAACAGCTGTTTGCTTTTCACCCAACAACGACAACCGCCTCACGAAACGCTATGTTGTAGCATTGATAAACGAAACAATTTAACAAAATTGCTTGTCAAAATACCAATACCACAGGACCAATTTTTTTTAAAGCAATAATTTTAGTGGCCCGAGCGGGCAAGTTGAAAGTACGTTATGCTGGCCGGGGTGTCTAAATAGTGCTTCCGGGCCAGCGGGCCATTTATAATGTCGAGCCCTGTATATCATATGAAAAGCTGAGAGTCCACAGATTCTATTGGTATACGTTTCATCCCTGTGCGATCAAAACTCACTGTTCAATAAAAGAACATTTTACCTTGAAAATCAATGCATTCTAATAGCGGGTCAATTTGACCCGGTGGCGGTTTTAGGTATACAAAAACCTCTGGCGGTTCTAGTGTTAAACCACAGCTGTGCAACACAGCAACTTTCCCCCAGTGAAACAAACTATTTCATTAGGGCCCCTTTTTTAAGTTTCTGGATATACAGAAGTTAATCTGTGCTATTTTTTTAGCACAGAGGGCTGTGGCTCAGGATGTATATCATCATCCTCCATGAGGAAAGGTTGGTGGTTTGATCTCCAGCCCTGCAGTTACTATGTTAGTTTGCATTATACACATGGGCAGCATTGAAAGTGGTGCTCACCATTATTTACTAAGTTTCAAATAAAAATGTTAACCAATATGGGGGGTGCAGGGAAGCTGTAGCCATTCAGTCCTTTATTTCTATCTGTTGAAAAAGAAAAATCATGCAAACTCTGATCTAGATAGCCCCATTACATGAGCATTGCTCCTAATTAGGTTCCTAAAAGGTCTTAACCCCAAATTGCTCCTAATGGCATGGCCCACAAGATGTAAATGTTGGTTTCCTTGCCTCCGGATGAATGTCTATGAACGTGTAAATTCGGACTTGCATACATACAGTGCTTCAAGAGGTCATAAAGAGCAGAATAACATGATATAAAAGCAGCATATATTTACCACAGCAACTTTTCACGCACGGGAAGTTTTCATCCCAGTTTAGCAACTAAGAGCATGCGTGAATAGTAATGTGCACTGCTGGCCTGTCAGAGTTACGAGCCTATTTGTATGGATGCCGGGCTGCACCTTGGTTGAGGTGAGCACAGAACCAGCATCCTGTGTTGCGCAGCAGGCCAGGATGACATGTGAATCGCAGCAGCCGAGAAAGTCCCGCTTAAGTGGATGCAGTAGGGAGAAGCAGCCCAGAGCCAGGAGGCAAACAGACAAACAGATGGACAGGCTGATGCCAAGCAGGCAGTGGAGCAAATAGATTGTGCAGCATGGTGAACAGACCCAGCCTACCCCAAGAACAACCCACAGACACAAGACCATGCCACCCCCTTGTCAGACGATCGTGCCTCTCTATAATTCATCCAGATAGGATAGATACGTGGTAAATGGGACTCTCATCTTCCTCCTTCTCCTCATCTGCCCCTGTCACATCCCTCATTTGATATGTGTTATGTAGGAGGAGGAGGAGATGTCAGTCTTGCAAGATGGGAAATGAACAAACCTGTATGTGTGAGAAGTGGAGTGAGAGGAAGAAATGCTGCAGGGAGCCGGGCGCTGCGGGTGGAATTGGTTTGCGGGGCGCTGGGGACTTCAGCCCAGCCCAATACATACACAATACACAAATAACAATATTGAGTTTTAAAACACCTTCTTCTTTTTTTACCAGCTTTAGATTGTATACACATCGCCATGGCAAGACGAAAATCATACAAAAATACATAAAGAGAGATTATTGCTTTTTTAAATGTTTCTTTGTTTGGATTAAACAAAGAACCAAACTTTACAAAGAAACTAGACACGCTGTTGTAATGGCACTGCAGAACAGAGCTTCTCCTACCTTGATGTCTCAGAAACACTTGGAAAGTATTAAGCTTGTATTTCCCCGAGGCATTGGGCACATGCTCACTGGAGCAATAACCTTTGCTTTAATGCGGGAGGAGCATGATTGTAAGTTTTCCTTCGAGACTCTCCTCTAAAATGCGAGGTGCTCGGATTGACTCAGTCTTGTTTTTCTCCACGGAAAACATCTAGCGCTGTGCAAGTCAAATAGAAAAGCGCCTTAAAGAGTTGAGACAGCGCTGTCAGATCTGTCTGCTTGTGTACTTACACAGTCTAATGCTTTGTCTCTGTGTGTGTGCTTGTGTGTGTGTTTTTGTCTGTCTACATAGGTAGAATGTAAGAAGGCCCAGCCCAAAGAGGTGATGTTCCCACCGGGAACACGAGGGAGAGCCAGGGGTCTGCCCTACACCATGGATGCCTTCATGCTGGGGATGGGCATGCTGAGTGAGTCATACACACATACTGCATTCACACAAAAACACACACAAATATGCAAATACTATAACAAGTGATTCATATACAGCCTTTATATGACAGCGTATGATATAGGTTTGAAATAACGCTGAAGCACAAAAATAGGCATACAATTGTAACTCGCAAAAATGTAATATAATGCATTATAAACATACTTATGTGTTATGATCTCTATAATGTACTAATAAGCTTGTATAGCTAAAGTTATAAGCATTCATAATAGCATGTGTTTTATATACATAACAATATACAATATATGTTTGTATTACGCATGACTTACAATGCATTATAACTGTGTCTATAATGACTTACAAAAAAGGTTATTAATAGCTTTTTAATGAAATATATATATAAGATTTTTTAGGAAGTGACAGTATGAGTAGAATATATATAAAAATCACATTGGACCTTACTATCCAATATTCAATGCTTTATGGCTATTGTTATAAAGCATTATAAATATTAAAGAGCACCTAAAAATGATACAGTGCTACAAGCAGATTATTGCACAATTGTTCATATTGCATTTGTACCAGGTTGCAAATAAAAACATCAAATTTAAGCCAATGTAGCGGGTGCAGGGAAGGTGTGAGACACGCACGCCATGCGGTCATCGATTTCTACCTCGTGAAAAAAAAATCATCTTATGCAAACTCTGGTCTAGATAGCCCCATTAGAGGAGCACTGGCCCTAATTAGGCTGCTTGAAGGTGTGCCACCAGTGACCACTGTGGTCTATTTCTGGTGGAGTCTGGTACCGGCAGCCCCTGGGCATATAGGAGCAGACCAGCACATTAGCAGGCTAAATGAAGAGGAAAATTGGTGTAATGTCATATTAAGGATTCATCACTGTGCCCCCCTTAATGGGTAATGAAGGGGACACACATGTCATCGAGAGATCTCATCTACAGGGACCTCAGCTGCCGCCCCCCCCCCCCACCCCTTCATTACCCTCGCAGCCCATGCCTGCGGCCCTTTATTTAACACTATTGCACTCCCTCCCTCCTGCTGTCTCTATCTATCTATCTATCTATCTATCTATCTATCTATCTATCTATCTATCTATCTATCTATCTATCTATCTATCTATCTATCTATCTATCTATCTATCTATCTATCTATCTATATTTACATCTATCTATCTATCTATCTATCTATATTTACATCTATCTATCTATCTACAGTGAAAAAACTGAACCGTTGACTTTAATTAAATGTATTATGTCAACAGATTTCACAAAACTGTATTAGGTTGGTTGAAAGCAATCATTTTAAGTTTAAATCAAATATATTAGGTTTAACTAAATATTATTGCTTTCAACTAACCTCATACAGTTATGTGAAATCTGTTGACATAATACATTTAATGAAAGTCAAAGTTTCAGTTAGTTCAGTGTATATCTATCTATCTATCTATCTGTATGCGTACTTATCTGTTTCTCTATCCACATATCTATCTGTCTTTCTATTCTTCTGTCGTTCTCATTTCCTATGCATATAATTTGTATGTGCGACCCAACCAAATGGATTTGCCCTCGCATAAAAGATTTATTTTTTCCTTCAAAAGCAAAAGAGACATGCAGCTGATTGTAAGAGACTCGTTTTGCCGTGCGAGTAGCCGCCCCCCCTTTCTCCCCCCATCCCCTCTAGAAGCAGGTGCAGGCAGAACCTCAGTCATGCATTTTTATCTGTACCAGGTAGCGAAATGTTTTAAAGGGGCTTTGAAGGTCGATAGCGAGACATAGCTGGGGTTGCTTGTTTTGCATTTTCTGACAGGAAATTAAGAGCAACCAGTCACAATTTTTTGAGCTGTGGAATAATTTTCCAACAAGGCAAATTAAGCAGCAGTCAACTTATTATCTATGCTATCTGTCCATCTATATACAGGCGTATAAACAGGGTTATTCTAAGGTTGACCTTGCCATTAATATACGTTTTCTGTTTTGTGGTAAAAGCCTGGATAAGACCGTTTCAGTTCCATCTCATCTGCTTGAAGTACTTAACAAGCACTGTGAACTTTCCGAACTTATTACAGACTAATGTCTGTGTGAAGAGGACGACACTCTTCCCCTCCGCTGGGAGACGGCAGGCGGGGAAAGGCAGTGATGTGCTCATGTGAGAATATTAACAGCCAACTTGTTTGGAGACACTCTTATCTAAATGAAATTGGAACAAGGACAGCGAAACATTCCTTTATATAATTTGCATTTAGAAAAAAATGGCACCCCAGGCTCATTATTTAAGAAAGTGTAAGCTCCTTTTGTGCCAAATCTCATTAAAGCCATCCCTTGCTCCTTTGTTTACTGCCTCTAATCGAGGCATTTATCTTTATTGTGTTGTGCCCGATGTATGTTTGCTGAAATTAATACACATTTGAGCCTGCGCGAGGTATGGGTGTACCAGATGGATAATTGATTTTAAAGTGAATCAGAACTGTTGAGCCATAAAATAGGTACATTAGCATGCATATTAATAAGGCAAATAAGAGCACTAAGAGGCCACACACAATGGCAGGCTTCATTTACTGAGGAGAGGGAACTCTTCCTCCTTTCTTCTTTCACTCCCGCTCTCTTGTTTGTATGCACATACTTAGGATCGAATGAGATAGTAAGCATGTATCTTAATCCTGACACTTTCATATTCCTCTCTAAAGCCCTCTCCTTTTAACACTCAGTGCACACATCTCTCCTCAGTTAGTAATGTGAAAGCCATTGTAATGCAGTACATCAGACGAGGGAAGTGGTTTTGCAGTTTGAGAACATTTTGAAATAAGGCGGTGCGAGGAGTCTAAGCCAACAATTTCAGTTTGGCATTTATTCTGTTTGACACTAAGACAGTATCAAACACATAATATCCAATATTTTGCAGCCCGTGATAGCTTTTCATTGTATCACATCACAGTTCTTTTCAGACCAAACAAACAGCGAGGCGGGGTTGTGTGAAAGCTATCCATCTGTAACTTCCTGGTGATGACTTCTCATCAGCGGCTGATGAAGGATTTTTTTTTTGGTTTAGCCTCCGTCCTACTTCATCCACACCAGGTTAAGGCTCCTCTCAGCCTCTCTCAGTTGCATTTCTTTTTGTCTGCGTGAGATGGAAGAGGGTCTGGGAGAGGCATTTTCCCATTGGGTCAGGAATAAATTGAACTTTTTCATGGACAGCAAACACTGATTAGATATTTATGACCAAGGTCAACCTTTCTGATTCCAGCTGGCACAGGCTCTGAGGCATACAGAACAGAGCATTTACACACACATGCTCACACAAACACTCACACACACACGCACATAGCCTACATACCCTCACGCACATACTCGCACACACAAGTATGCATGAATGCAAAATATGTTTTGACGCCGCATGCTGTAGGCACAGGCAAACAAGTGTGCATATGTCATCTCTGGAACAAAATGTATATACGCAATACACTTTATGCATTATTCACATAATCTTAGTCGTCAGTATTTTATATTAGGACTATATAGTTTGCCTCAATTATAACGTTGACATTCATATTCTAAATCGATATTAAAGGTGTCTCTTCATATATATATATATATATATATATATATATATATATATATATATATATATATATATATATATATATATATATATATATATTTAATATATGTCTATACAATCTCTTAATAGCCGGTAATTCTGAGGGATAAAGAAAATAATATATCTCAACATTTCTGACCAAATACCTCAATATAGATATACGACTAAAAGGACAGCATTTTTAAACAATACACATTTTGATAAATAATCATCAGTAATGTGGATAGAATGACTTAGTGGGTACATGCAGATAACAGAACAGCTAGAACAATCTGGAACATTTCTAAATGACATCACTTTACTGAAACGAAGTCTTCAAAACCAGGAAAAGACATCACTTACAATTAAAAATGATCTTAGACCCTAGCTAGTCTCATATAACTAAAGCAACATTAGATCTATGTTTTTTCGTGTTCAGCCTCTTAAAAACAGTTCTGTTTTACTGCGGTCAAACAAATGTTTGCCCTTCTGCTTGTACCCATTTAAAAACCATCTGAAATCCTTTATTAGTCCCGCAGCTGGAATACCCTTATATAAGATTTGATTGTAAAAATATATATAATTACAGCCCCTTAATATTTATGTTTTTTGATTGTATGTTCCATCAGTCTGCACAGTCTGTAGTAGCAACAGTTAAACTGTAGACATGTATATGTGACTACAGACAATTGATCAAGCCAGTACATGCTGTATCTAACGGGAACTGAGGCCAAACCGTTTCCTGGGCTGGTTTCTACGGTCGTATTTACACACAATAAGGAAAGAGTTATCAAGGTCGCCTCGAGTGATTCATCCCTCGCCTAGAGGACTTCCTCTTATTAGATAATTTAGTCCAGACGTATGGTTGGAGGTGATAATAGCTTGAGGGAAACGGATAAAGACTGAGACATATACCATAATTACAGGGTTAATTATGTTTATATTACCTTTGATGGCGCTCAAATTCTCACTCCTTCTCACACTAGCTCCCTCTCTCAGCCTCCCACCCACCCACTCTTCTTCTCCAATGTCTTGTTTTGTGTGTTTCCCACTTCCTCGCTGCCTGCTCCCTCACACCCCGTTTCTCAATATGTTGCCCACAGCTGCTTCTGTCTGAAAACTGTCCAGCTAATTAACTGCCGGGCCTGCGCTTGTAATAAGAAGCTTGACGGCAGATGAACAATACATCTGCTATTCTTACATTTTTCAAATGACACTCGGTCCTCTTTTGGCCTCATTGAAACTCTCCATCTATCTAGGGACAGCAAAACTAAACAACTCTAAACGCGCCTGTTTCCTCCCACACACTTTGACTTTGATTTACAGATGGCAGTTTGTTGTTTACATCCTCAGCAAGTTTTATAATTCAGAGGCTGTGATTACATTCTTTATACCTTGGATAAATAGTAATCCTGACTAACTAATGCTGTGTTTCTTACACTGGGGGATGTATGTGCTAATGTTGCGGGTGGAGGGTGGCCGGTTAAAGTGCAAAATGGGGAGTGTGTCCTGGTACTTGGACAACTCCCAGTTCTCACCAAACCCCCCCTGTCACTCACATTACAGACTTACAAAACATTTTGAAAATAGAATTTGGGAACATAACTCAACTTGTCATTGCATGTAGACATACTTAGGTGTATTTGGAATATCAAGGCTTAGACATGATCATTGAAAGTAGGGCTGCACAATAAATAAGATGTATAGGCTGGGATACCTTTGCAACTTTACAATAGTTTATTCAGAATTACATTTTAACATATTAGCCTTTAACAGTTATTGTGCTCCACTCAATTTAAATATATAATAATATATAATATAAAGACATGGGTTATTGAAAGTGATTGAATTTATATATTTTAATCAAGATTCACTTATAAAAGTGGATACCTTCTCTATCTCTATCCAACACAGCACAAGTCACTGTTTTTTCACAAATACAAGCCTCTCTCTTTTTAATTGTTGTCTGTAAGCCTCTTTGAAGCATGCTAGTTATAAAGTAATGTAACAGTAATTATAATTATAATGTGTTATAAGCCTAAGGGACCCCAAACTCTCACTTGATGTTGCTGTTCTCAGAGGTGGTTTCTATTTTAACACATTTCACACATGCTTGTCATTTCCATAAAGCATTAGCTACCCTTGATAACTATATACAACTATAGAAAATAAAAGAGTTTTAAATTCACGGTTAAACCTTGTTAGTAAGCATCCTTTTAACAAATTCTAGCCATATTAGCACGTTTTCTGCAACGTAGAAGTTGCACTGAACATTAACAGACGTCATTTCAAGGCACCTGTTAGTAAACTGAGCTATACAAATGCATGGTAACTTGTGCTACAGTAAAACAATGTAGAATGAATTGGGCTTAAAGAAGCAGGAGTGATATTTGGTCATCAATGTTTTGCATTGTAACCTCATTTGAATCAGCTCCTAATTTGTCACCAGGTGTTGATACCCAACTCTACTGAAGATCTTACCTCAATGAATGATGGAGATCAGTAATCAAAAAACATAAATATAGGAAAGCAAGAATGTATAGCAACCACGTACATGCATACATACCCGCTTTCATACATTCACACTCTCATAACCTCAGAAAACATGACCTCGTTGCCAAGTTTCAGCCTCCTAGGGTGAGAAGTGTGGCCGCCAAGGGGTGGAGACATTTCTGTGCACCGACAGAGCGAGCCACAGAGCCAGTCGCAGCTTAAAAAAACAACTTTCTATTAACTGCTCTGAGTCTCCTGTTGAGGTTCCTTAAGTGTGTTAAAATATAATATAATTAAAGAGGCTATTGATCCATGAAGGGTAAGACTTTAGGAAAAACAACATGAGCAGCATGATCAAGATTAGAGGTTAATGTAATTGTGACGGTTGACCATTGATTGAAGGTGGTGCTGGCTGTCTGACTGCACACTCAGCCAATGTCTATCAGTTTACAATCTACAATCAACATTACGAGCTGTAAATACATGGCACCTCTCATTAGGATTGAAGCAAATACATACATTAGTGCCTAGAGGTTTGTTTATTGCAGTTTATTTCAAATCAAGCTAGGGTAACACACAAACATTTTCAGGCTATAGAACACACTACAGGGAAGGGAAAACCTCAAAAAGCACAATAGGGCCTCTTTAAATAACATTAGAATTTGCCTGAGAAAATAATAATTTTCTTGGTATTCAGTTTAAATCCAGCCTTTTCAGATCTGTTGCCTTCTAAAAAAAGATATACGTTTGTCTGTGTGTTGGTATGACATCTGTATGTATTTCTCTAATAATCCCTTCTTAATTTCTTTCCTCTCTACCAAAGGCTACCCTAACATTGTGGCGACGTATGGCCGTGGATACACTGGATTCGCGCCTAGCTACAGCTACCAGTTCCCTGGTGAGTGAAATACTTTCTTAAAATATCAATGTTGCAGCTGATTTCTGGGATGCACAGCCACAAATACGCACACACACACACACACACGCACACACACACACACATACATACACACACACACACACACACACACACAGACACACACACACACACACACAAAGACACACACACAAAGACACACACACACACACACACACACACACACACACACACACACACACACACACACACACACACACACACACACAAAGACACACACACTTACACGCTCATACTCAAAATATCATCAACATACATACAAGTCAGTCACCAGATAATATTCAGGGTTATAAGTATGTTACTTGTCCGGATTTCTCAACTATATTTTGAAAGCTGACTATAGTGGAGTAAATTGCTTACTCCTTTTTATCCCATATTCCAACAGTAGCATGACCAAATGTCTAAAATGGGGTAAGTTCTTCGTCTTCTGCGGCCCAATGTATGCAAATCCATGTGTGGAGAAGCAGAGAAATAAGCAGTGCGTTGTGTAGGGTCGTTTTATCCATTTGTTGTTATAATGGAAAATGAATGAATCCATTTTCTGCATTTAAAAGTGTTGACTCAGATTGCGGCTCTTCAATGGGAGGCGTCAGTCTGGAGGTGAGCAGCTGCACCTGTCTGCTGCGAGGGGCCCGCGGCTCCCAGGCGCCTCACTTAGACAGGCATCCCGTCAATTTCATGCTTTATTTAAGGACTTTACACATACTTTGTTTGCCGTGCCAGACATCATTCCTTCCGCTGATAAGACGGAATGGGAAATATCTGACAGCCGCTCAGATCTCTGTAATATCTCGGTGAAATAGATTCAGCAATGGTAAGACAGGAGGTCCAGCTGTGACCACCTGCAGATCAGACACATGCTAGATTTATACCTGACCACAACATCATTCGCCAGAAGAAATGGAATAGCACCTTCTCATCAACGTGGGGGAACACGAGCTGCATACAAATGTGGGAATTCTTGGTGGTCTGTCTTCTTAAAAAATGAATAATTTAAGACCCTTTGTTTCATTTGATATCAATGTGAATCCGTAGACTTACAATGTACACAACAGTTTATTTATCAAAGATGACCTTACGAATGACTATCCATCCTTATTTTTCTGTAAAAGCATCTTTAGATGCTTTTAGGATGCAACGGAAAACGATTTGACATGAAAAGAGCGATCAGTGTTTATACCATATAAGTAATTTTAGTTAAACATAGATTTGTTTAATGTTTACAGTTTAGGACAAATTAAGGGATGTCACCTTCCCCAAGGCAGAATGTATGATTCTGTCCATGTTAAACTCAATTTAAAGAGCTTGATAAAGCTGTATGATTAAAACAGCCTCCTCTGGGCCCGCTCAACTCTTGACAGGGTAATTGGAATTTTTTAATGTATGAATCAAACCCCTTGTCCAGATGAAATAACCTCAGGCCAAATATTGACTGGTGTCCTTCCCTACTAAGATGTGGAAAGCATCCTTATTTTAAGATCAAAGGCTTTATTTCACTGTACACCCCCCTCCCGCTGAAACACTCCTATAAATACATGGAGCGGAGAACAGGCAGACAGGATCCAGGAGGCGTAAATTGTGGGCAGCGTTTCAAGGCTTTTGTACACACAGTAAACCTCAGGGGTCCACTGTTAACGGGAAAAGGCGGTTAGGCAATTGTCCAATTGTCAAGATAAAACAGTGATAAAACATTGATCAGTGATGAAACAGTGAATTAAGTAGGAAAACTCAATAAGACGTACACAGGAAAAAGAGAAACCAAAGCTGACATCCCGGCAGCTGAAACAGAGTTCAAATGGAGAAAAGAGAACCTAAAAGACAAGTGTAATATAAATATATATATATATAGAAATAAAAGACTGCAGCCAGTTAGACTCAAAGCAGCTAAGCAGCTGTTAAACAGAATCTGACAATTTAGCTCTGCGGTCCTTGTGACACTCCCAATTAATCCCAGCATTGATCACAAAGTGCCTTTGATATTGATCACATGCAGTGTGTTTCTATGTCTGTGTTCGTAGGCTGCCTGCAAACGTAGTTCCATCACGACTCAGACATCATTACTATTTAATGCACTCACAGACCTTCATATATAACTGATATGAATCACAGCATCCCCAATTTGTCAAAACGTGTCCGTGCAAGAAATCATATATCAGAAAACATCCTCAAAGTGTAAACTCTGACATTGGTATTTGTGTGTAACTCAATTAGAGACTAACCAAGCTCCAGTTCTCTTAGACACAAGCACACACACATTTTACAAACTTTCGGATAACAACAATTGAATGTATTGTTTATTATACTGTGTATAGTAAAACATTCATTATTTAATAACCTGGATAAATAAATTCCAAATGCAAATGAATTTCAGTATATCCCCCTTTATTTGTATGTATTTATGTACTTTGTTGTTGAATAATTCTCTAAAAATAATTGGTGCTTTATGCAGTATATATAATTAATAGTTATTGAATTAAAGGGAAACTATAAATTAGCACGTATAGTTATGATGCTAATAGCAGAGAATGGTGATGCAGTTTCTGGCATATTAATGTGCCAATAAAACATTAGAAGAAAATGTAAAGGATTGGAAAATACATTGGAAGTTTAATATCATAAGCCATAAAGATTCATGTCTATTCCTTTTGAGATATTAAATTAATTAATTTACAAATGTTCAGTTGCACATTCCTAGAATGCATCAAACTTTATATATATATTTTAGACCTGTTCTTCTAGCTATATTATAAAGTGTTCATGCTGATGACAGAAAGCTGGTTGAAGTGTTTGCCTTCTGATTTTGACTCACTTCCAAACTGTATTTAATATGCGCCGCTGTAATCACACACTGTCTCCCTCGGGCTGCATCCCTTCAGCATTATGCTTGAACTAACGTTGGAATTACACTTTAAAGATGATGTTGCATAGTGCATGTGTAGTGACAATCAAGAAACAGAATCACAATTGGTAAGGAGGTGTAACAAATGATTAGCAACACCAACATAACAAAAAGTCTGTTCTTTTTGGATTCATCAAAACTTTTTTCTAATAGTGGATACGTGATTGTTAACAATGTTTAAGGAACACATTTCCATCGGATTTGCATTGATTTGTATGTTAGCAGGGCCGTCTCTTCCCAGAGATTTGTAACACATTGATGAACAATGACATGTGACACATTGTCTGTCTGCTCCCATTGTGAAGGAAACCTTCTCCGAATGGGCTGCTGCATATTCAGGAAATGTATGGCAAACAGTGGTATTATCAGTGTCAAAAGAAAGCAGAGGGGACTGTAATGTATGAATGCAAATGTGACATGTGATATGTGAGCGTTGTCATGTTGCATTTCTCTTGTGTGGATGTAAATATCCACACAGTTTAAGATGAAAACCACTACATGTACTGAGGTAGTTACTGCCTTTCAAATAGCACAGAGCCCTCAGTGTTGTACCGCTGTCATCATCATTATGCAACTTTTATTTTTTTTGTAGCCGAATCTCTTTATCTATTCCCATTAAAGAGGCCCAATTATGCTTTTTGGAGTTTCCCTTTCCTGTACTGTGTTCTATAGGTGTTTTGCATGTAAATGGCTGCAGAGGCTAAAATCCCAAAGTTCCCCCCCCCCCTGCCTGAAACGCCTCCATTGGACTCCTTTGTTTACTTCCTTAACATAATGACATCCCTACGTAACACTTGCACTTCTATTGGCTAGCGCTCCAACACATTGTACATGATAGGCTAAGAGGTGGAACATCTCTAAGTGGTTGACCAATCACAGCAGACCAGGCCAGCTAACCAATCAGAGCAGACTGACCGAAATATAAATACCTTTTTGAACATTAAAGCATGTAAAGATGTCACAGTAGAGGCAAAAAATAAAACCTGAACATTTGAATAATAGGGCCCCTTTAATTAAAGTAACGTTGATAATACAGCCTCATTTTTGCCTTTTCCAAAAATTGCTTTACACACAGCCCAGATTATCTACACACCGACACTTTTTGGAGATTGCCAACATATGCCCGGGGTCAGAGGCAAATCATCGCTCACTCCCGATAGCTATGTGTGAATTTTCAAAGAAGCGATCTGAGAGATTCTATGCAGACGCCCTGAGAGAGATCTACATAAGCAGGTTAAATATCTAGACCAGTGTGTGTGATACAAGACACTGCAGTATGGAAAATAATTTGAATTGGCAAAGACAGAAGCATGCGCATAAACAAACAGCTGTGGGCTTGTTGTTAATATACTGACAGAGTTGCTTTTTTTCAACAAAAAAATACAACACAATGTCCACATCAAAAAAGATGGAAGTAATGTTGAACAGTATCGTACACTGCTCTGCTCATCCTGGATGGCAGCACGTCAGCATTATAGAACTTGACTTAAATGATCAGACGTCATAGCTAACATTTGTCAGGTTACAAAGAACAAACTCAAATTCAAGGTGTCTTTGAATCAAAATGAGGTAAATCAAAAGGACTTCTTTTTGATTTCTGACAGAGATTAAAGAGCGCACATTTCCCTAGATACTGCAGGTAAAAATCTGTTGGACGGCACTGATTTTCAGATAGCTTCAAATGAAGGAAAGTCGCGTTGAAATGAATATCCTCGCCCTCATGCTTGTAGTATTAGGAGTGTATCTGTATCTGCTTTACTTTTACATATTCTCTTACATTTCAATTGGAAAAAGCAGTGCCTAGCCATCATTTTTCCACTTTGTGAGAGAAGCTACATTCATGGCAGTTTTTTAATAAAAATGCATAATGGTTAACTGAGCTGATTACAATAAGAAAGTCCTATTTTTTTTCTTTCTTTTTCTTCCCTTGGTTTTATGTGTAAACATAATAGATTAGATACTGTAGGATGTTTTTTTTTCCTAAATCAACTCAAGACGCAGCTGTGAATGTTGCTAGAAGCGGGAAAAACAGGATCTGACAAGTCATAGGGAACCTTACTGT